GAGAATAGGGAGAGTAAGAAGATGGAAGGATAGATAAGATGGAGAGGAAGACTGGAAGATGGAGAGTAACAAGATGGGAAGATAGAGAATAGGGAGAGTAAGAAGATGGAAGGATAGATAAGATGGAGAGTAAGAAGACTGGAAGATGGAGAGTAACAAGATGGGAAGATAGAGATAGGGAGAGTAAGAAGATGGAAGGATAGATAAGATGGAGAGTAAGAAGACTGGAAGATGGAGAGTAACAAGATGGGAAGATAGAGAATAGGGAGAGTTGGAAGGATAGATAAGATGGAGAGTAAGAAGACTGGAAGATGGAGAGTAACAAGATGGGAAGATAGAGAATAGGAGAGTAAGAAGATGGAAGGATAGATAAGATGGAGATAAGAAGACTGGAAGATGGAGAAAAAGATGGGAAGATAAGAATAGGGAGAGTAAGAAGATGGAAGGATAGATAAGATGGAGAGTAGAAGACTGGAAGATGGAGAGTAACAAGATGGGAAGATAGAGAATATTTAAGAAGATGGAAGGATAGATAAGATGGAGAGTAAGAAGACTGGAAGATGGAGAGTAACAAGATGGGAAAGATAGAGAATAGGGAGAGTAAGAAGATGGAAGGATAGATAAGATGGAGAGTAAGAAGACTGGAAGATGGAGAGTAACAAGATGGGAAGATAGAATAGAGAGTAAGAAGATGGAAGGATAGATAAGATGGAGAGTAAGAAGACTGGAAGATGGAGAGTAAGAAGATGGAAGATAGAGAATAGGGAGAGTAAGAAGATGGAAGGATAGATAAGATGGAGAGTAAGAAGACTGGAAGATGGAGGTAACAAGATGGGAAGATAGAGAATAGGGAGAGTAAGAAGATGGAAGGATAGATAAGATGGAGAGTAAGAAGACTGGAAGATGGAGAGTAACAAGATGGGAAGATAGAGAATAGGGAGAGTAAGAAGATGGAAGAATAGATAAGATGGAGAGTAAGAAGACTGGAAGATGGAGAGTAACAAGATGGGAAGATTTTTAATAGGGAGAGTAAGAAGATGGAAGAATAGATAAGATGGAAAGTAAGAAGACTGGAAGATGGAGAGTAACAAGATGGGAAGATAGAGAATAGGGAGAGTAAGAAGATGGAAGGATAGATAAGATGGAGAGTAAGAAGACTGGAAGATGGAGAGTAACAAGATGGGAAGATAGAGAATAGGGAGAGTAAGAAGATGGAAGGATAGATAAGATGGAGAGTAAGAAGACTGGAAGATGGACAGTAACAAGATGGGAAGATAGAGAATAGGGAGAGTAAGAAGATGGAAGGATAATGCTTAGAGAATCATCATTTAACTGTCTTTATTTTCTTATTTATTGATTAGCAAACACTGATATATTTAGATAATAATGACCCTTTTTCTTTTCTTTACAGGTGAGTGAACCCTCATTTAAAATGCCGTAATACAGGTAATCTTCAGTACGTAACATTTGGTTAATTTAATGTAAAAATATATCCATGTGTGACAATGTGTTACTGCGTGTAGGTGTATCTCTTTTGCAGTGATGCCCTCGAAAAGAAATTAGTCTGACACTTTCCGTCGACTCTCCTATCGTCAGACATTTTGACCATTTTTTTTGTCATTTCTTAACCACATTAAAGAAAGAGAAAAGTTGATGAGATGGTATTTTTTTAATTGGTGTTACTCCAAGCAAAGCAACTAAAACACAGTGAATTACAGTGCGTGGAAGAATTAGAAACAGAAACATTTATAATGAGCGGTAAGAGGAAAGGTTAATCAGGAGGACAGTAGAGAGCGATTGGCATTGCATTTAAATTTTTGCAGATTCAAGCTGGTTGGAAAGCATGGAGCCGGAAGGGAGTTCCACAAGGAAGGCAGTAAAGCCACTAAGACACAAAGGGGTTACTATATGTGGATGAATTAATAAGAGAAATATTAATAATGAGCAGGTCGAGGAAAACGTAATCAGAAGGACAGCATATAGCATTAGACATTGCATTTAGATTTTTGCGGATTAAAGTTGGCTAGAAAACATTGAGCAGGAAGGAAGTATCTCAAGGAAGGCACCAAAGCCACTAAGACGCAAGGGGTTACTAGGTGTAGAAGAATTAATAAGTGAAACATTAATAATGGACGGGAAGAGAAAAGATTACTCAGGAGGAGAATAGATAGCGTTTGACATTGCATTTAAATTTTGAAGATTAAAGTTGGCTGGAAAGAACTCAGCGAGAAAGGAATTCCTCTAGGAAGGCAGTAAAGCCACTAAGACACAAAGGATTACTAGGTGTGGAAGAATTAGTAACAAACATTAATAATGAGCTGAAAGCGAAAAGAGTAAAGAGGAGGAGAGGAGATAGCGAAGGAAATTGCATTTAAATTTTTGCAGATTAAAGTTGTCTGAAAAGAATGAAGCCGGAATTGAGTTCGACAAGCGAGAAGTACGATTAAAGAAACTGTTGACATAGAACCTACGGTTGCATCTAGCCAGCTAAACTGTCAATTGATGAGATCTCGTCGCCTGTCTACTAATGCCCTCAAATTCATAAAGTCTCGTATACCATAACGAAGAACTCATCTGAACAATTACCATAAAACTATTTATAGGAAAAACACAGAGATGTACCTTTACGGCGATGGGAAAATGGCTGAAGCCGAGCCGCCAGATCATGACCAATAATATTGCAGATTCTTCTTTGGATCTTATGTTGCAGATTTTGGGGCATATGTTTACTAGTTTGCTAGCTTAAATGAGTTGACTCATTTTATAGTTCACCAATAGAAGCATGGTGGACCATATAGATTGGACGCTGATCGGACATCATACTCAGTCAGTCAGTTATGTCCCATGCGTGATACACACTTAGGCGATCACGTATCTTTCGATACATGATTGACGAGGCAGATTTTTTCCAGCCTAAATGAGTTGACTCATTTTATAGTTCACCAATAGAGGCATGGTGGACCATATAGATTGGACGCTGATCGGACATCATACTCAGAGTCTGTCAGTTATGTGCCATGCGTGATACACACTTAGGCGATCACGTATCTTTCGATACATGACTGACGAGGCAGATTTTTCCAGCCTAAATGAGTTGACTCATTTTATAGTTCACCAATAGAAGCATGGTGGACCATATAGATTGGACACTGATCGGACATCCTACTCAGAGTCAGTCAGTTATGTCCCATGCGTGATACACACTTAGGCGATCATGTATCTTTCGATACATGACTGACGAGGCAGATTTTTTCCAGTAGTACGTTGCCATTTCTTTTTGTGGTAGACCAGTTGCCATCCAAAGGCTATAGAACTCGGTCTGTCCTTCTATTTATCCATAGATGGGGGAGAAGAAGATGTTGGAGTTTTTTAGGGTACGGTCTACTAGTGAGCTAGCCTAAATGAGCTGACTCATTTTATAGTTCACCAATAGAAGGGTTAACCAATCAGAAAGCTTAAAATATTCAATGCGACGTGTATAAAGGCAGCCATTTTTTTCTCCCAAAATTATCTGCACTGCTAAGCTGATATCGAAGACTTAAAGAATTACTTAACAACCGCTACTTTATCTGAATCTTCACTGCCGACCTCTGATATTGAACAGATTACGGACTTCACTGGATTCCATATTCAGAGACTACGGCAAAAAGATGGTCAACATCTTATATAGGAGCTCAAGGTAAATAGCAGAGACAACGGACCATATATCAATTTCACATCCTATTTCATGATTATTTATTACAAATTGGGTGAGATTTTTTTGTTAACAACGCGGTAATTCGGATTCATTTCAAGGTTTTCTTCAGTTCATGCCTTGGAATGAAAGAGAAAAAAGAAAGAAAGAAAAAGACGTAGACCAGGTGAAAAAAAGGTTGGACTGGAAAGAAAGAAAGCAACAAGACAAGTAATACAAGTAAGAAAAGAAAGAAAGAAAAAAAGAAAGAAAAAAAGAAAGAAAAAAAGAAAGAAAAGTAAGAGAGAAGGACAGAAAGGAACGTAATCCCAGAAAGAAAAGAACAAAACAAAAAAGAAGGAAAGAACATCCCCCCAACCTTTTTCCTTTTCCTGACTGCAGTTGATTTCTTCGAAGAGCTTTGCTCCTCGTTAATATTTTAAATATATATATATATATATATATATATATATATATATATATATATATATATATATATATATATATATATATATATATATATATATATATATATATGTGTGTGTGTGTGAAAATATATAGAAAATAGGAAAGAAAAATTAAAATTTCGCTTGAAGATGGATATTTTGTGTAATTTTGGTAAATATATCTGTTCACCCTGAGATATCAGTGTATATATATATATATATATATATATATATATATATATATATATATATATATATATATTCAGTTGAATTGACGTTTGGTGTTAGTTTGTTTCAATCCAACTAAATAGGTTAGCTTTATCACTGATATTGAGCGCTTTCCAATAAGTACTGCTATACAATATATATATATAATATATAAATTATATATATATATATATATATATTTTATATAATAGGAAAAAGATCTCGTTAGGGCAAATAATCCAAAAGTTCTTTAGTATTATTGTTATTATTTTTTAAAAATAGTGCTCGATACAAAAGTAAAGCATAAAAAAATTCCAAGAAAATTTCGCTTCAAAATGGAACAGAGCTTGGTACTTTAATTCATTTTAATTCAAATATTATATTGAAGTTTTCGACTCTTGTTTTGAAACATGAGAATTCTTATGTAGCGTGTTGGAATTATATTTTTAAATAAATAATTATATATATATATATATATAAAATTTATATTTATATATATTTAGTAAAATTAAAATCAGCGAAAATGGGTGATTAGCCAATTTGTCCGGAACAAACAAATATTTGGACAATCTTATAAAAACAATAAAGTCACAAAAATATAACATTTAACCGAATAGAAATGAAAATATAATTAAAAAATAAAGAAAAGTATAAAAAGACACAGAGATTGTAAGCTAAGATAGATATATACAAAGAAAGAAAGAGAAAAAGAATGAAAGAAAGAAGAAAGTGAGATAGATAGATAGATGTAATAGATGAGATGAACAAACTAAGATGAGATAGATAGATAGATAGATATATATGAATAAACTGAGATAGATATGAATGATAGATAGAAATAAAGTAGATAGATAGAAAGAAAGAATGTGAAATAGAAAGCTAGATAAATATGAATTAAGTGAGATAGATAGATCGATATATAGAAAGAAAAAAAGAAAAAAGTAAGAAAGAAAGAAGGAAAGTAGATAGATAGAAACTGAAATAGATAGATAGATAGATAGATAGATAGATAGATAGATAGAAACTGAAATAGATAGATAGATAGATAGATAGATAGATAGATAGATAGATAGATAGATATGAATAAACTGAGATAGATAGATAGATAGGAAGAAAGAAAGTAGATAGATAGAAAGAAAGAATGTGAAATAGAAAGCTAGATAAATATGAATTAAGTGAGATAGATAGATCGATATATAGAAAGAAAAAAAGAAAAAAGAAAGTAAGAAAGAAAGAAAGAAAGAAAGAAAGTAGATAGATAGAAACTGAAATAGATAGATAGATAGATAGATAGATAGATAACAAACTGAGATAGATAGATAGATAGATAGATAGATAGATAGATAGATAGGAACAGACTGAGATAGATAGAATATGAGGTCGATGTCCGCTACTGTTACAATTAAATCCTGTCTCCATTAATTTATGTGTCTATTGACCATTTACATACATACGCACTTATATGCTTCTACATAGTGAGCTCCCTTTCTTTTTCATTTAATTACGCAAGCCACTGATTTCAATATATATATATATATATATATATATATATATATATATATATATATATATATATATATATATATATATATACAAATTCGCATGTACACAGAGGAGTGTTTAGGATTTTACGTGTAATTATATATTTTTCAGTGTTGTTAAATGATTACGTTTGTCGTTGTGCATATTCGGGATATTTTTAATTGCAATTAATTTAATTGCAATGTGCTAACTACAGATGCCAAAACCGATTTAATTAGGGCTGATTTTTAATTTTAATGATGGCCCCAACCTTCTTTACGTGTGCTTGATGCCAGAAATAAGCCAATCAGTGGCCTTCTCGTTTGGCGAAAACTGAGATCGGCCAATCAGAAAGTTTGTAAACGGAGATGTGCTTATCGAATAACAACGGTTTATTAGCCATCAGATTTATTTGTTTAGACATTTTATGGCTTTCTACCGATTCCAATATTACATAGTGGCCATCTTTTACTACAGGTTGTTCATATTAAATCATATCTCCTCATGATCGAATACATGACACTCCATACTTTCTTTTTAGCTTAAACACTGTGTTTAGAATCCCTTCAAAATATAGCGTTTTATATCTTAGTTCTATATCTTGAAATTGTACGAGCCTGGCTCTCAATTTCAGTCGATATTGTTTTAGGTGTTGCCATAGAAGGATATGACTACACAACAAAGAAATTCAAATTCAACGTGCATTGACAGGACTAACATTTTGCTTGGTGAAAATAGTCACCGACAGTGTACTAAAAGTTAAGTAGAGAGAATTAAGAACACAGGAAATAAAGATTAACACTGCATTTTAATTTTTGAAAATCAAAGGCAATAAAGCCACTAATTGGTTAATAGCACCGATCGAAAATAAAGACTAAAATATTTGGCAAGATTCGAACCCTTATACTTTTCTGTAACGGTCTCTTGACCGACTGACATTGCCCTCAATTCTCCCCCCACCCAGACCAGTCAGCGCCATATTTTGTTAATCTTGAAAGAAACACTAATTCCAGACTCTAACACTTTTTTTCCAAGATTCTAACACCTTTATCAAACTGTCAGCTGCAAATACACACAATATTTGGTTTACCGTAAGGATTTATCAGATTTCAGATAAAAGACTTAATAAATTCATATCAAATCAAGCGACAGATATACATTGTCGTCGATAGTTGGGAACAACTTTTACTTTGATCTAAACTGAATCTTGCGTCTGAATACCTTGGGTTGAAGACGAACGTGAAAAATCATTCGTCATTAACATCAAAACTAAAAAATGTGCGTATTTTGAGGAAGATGGAATCAATATGTCGGGAGTTTGCAATGATCAGTCGTACTGATTAGAAGCGAGATGCTGACTGAGTCAAAACTATGTCACTTACTGAACCAAATTTGCAGCCGACACGTCAGTCATATTTATTTCGCTCGGCAATTCGGATGTTCTCTAAGAATCGCCTCCCCTACCAGGAATTCATTATTGGCGGCTACAACCTTAACAAGATACGCAGATGACAGGGTATAGATTGCTGACACGGAAAGTTTTCTGACGTACGGTGGCCGTTAATAATTAAGTATAACTTAAGATAAAACAGTATTTAATTACAACCACAAATAAATACTTAAGGAGAACAGAGAAGTAACAGTCAAGCAAAGATAATTAACCATTTCAGTAAATAACTTTTTAGTAGCGCGGCTCGGCTTAACGTCCTAAATCAAAAACCAAATCCTCGACGCACAATAATTCACACTAATTCGACTGGATAGTTCCATTCAATAATCACTTAATGATCACCCCAGTCAGTAGCCTATTTATACACCTGGCGGAAAACATATTCATAAGTCCAGAGTGTCATGTTCGAACCTCGGTGTCGGTAGTTACTCATTTTCTTCCATTGTGGTAAATTTCAAGGTAATAAACGCACTAAGACGAAAGATATTAAGAAATGCCTTAATTATATTTTCTTTTTAAACATTTGATAATAATAATAATAATAATAATAATAATAATAATAATAATAATATGAAGAAGAAGAAGAGAAAAAATTACTGAAAATTACACGGTTTTTCTATTTGAATTTTCTGTTGAATCTTAATTCTTAAGTTAATTATGGAATAAATTATCGCTAGTTCTGTAAAAAAAAACAATAGAAAACACAATAGCACCATAGACTAATAATGTACGTCTGGATGACTTCTGTTATATGATTGGAATTTCGAAACGAAACTTTATTTTGTCCACCGGGGTAGATAGTTCTAGTTCCGCTTGCCATACCTCTTCCAAATCTAAGCTATTTTCCTTTAAATCAACTCACCAAGTTTTTTGGGGTTTTTTTTTAATTCATCACTTCTGTGATCCGGTATTGTATTCACAACTCCTAATGTCTGGTCAATGGATCTAGGTCTCGAGGACACATGGCCTAGTGGATAAAGGCGTTGATAGATAGATAGATAGATAGATAGATAGATAGATAGATAGATAATAAAAAGGCTGTAATAGATAGATAGATAGATAATAAAAAGGTAGATAGATAGATAGATAGATAGATAGATAGATAGATAGATAGATAGATAGATATGAAGAGACCTGGATAGATAGAGAGAGAGGGGGGAGAGAGAGAATCAGATAGATACATAGAAATGAACAGACTTAGATAGATAGATAGATAGATAGATAGATAGATAGATAGATAGATAGAGAGGTGAGAGAGAGAATGAGATAGATACATAGAAATGAACAGACTAGATAGATAGATAGATAGATAGATAGATAGATAGATAGATAGATAGATATGAACAGGATCATATAGATTGATTGATTTTAACACATCATATTCACTTCTCCAGTTCCCTATCCTTTTAGGAATGAGGTAATTCTAATGACTGCCTCATTCTTACTGATGTCTATGCATAATACGCACTTTCTGTTACAGTGTTCCTCTAGAGGCTGATCAAGTTCTGCCAGCTATGAATATCGATCCCATTTTCATTGCATAAAACCAGGAGTTAACTAGTTGCAAGCCTAGAATACAAAAAAAAGGATTACCAAGTCTAAAGTGTCAGTAAAATAAGTCTTTGCAGATAATCAACTTTTACTAGCAGTTTGCTGAAATTGTTTCCCCAATGATTTGTCATGTTCTCTTAAAGAAAGAAATTTACGAAATATTTCCAATGATAAAATGTCAGATAATGACTATATGTAAAGATTATCCGGCCAAACATGTAAGTAGAATAGTTTTATTCATATGAGCAAAACATTGAACCAGCCTTTTCTAACGACTTTACCACCGAGTTGTCCTTTTCTACAGACAATTCTAAAATAGTGAGATTAAAAGAAAATGGTCGGAAAATAGTGTAATGATATGATTTCTTTTCTTTTTTACTCTTTTTTAAAACATTTTTCACCCAAGGAAGGTGATAAAGCCACAAAGACTCAAGTGAAAAAAAAACTAGGAAAACGTTATTGATTAGAAGCGACAATAAAAAAAACAGGATTCAAAAAACAGAATGCGACGACTGTCGTTACACTTGAATTTTTGAATATCACGGTTGACAGGAAAGCAGGAAGACGGAAGAGAGTTCCACATGCGAGAAGGGCGGGTGAAGAAACTATTAGCATAGAACTTAGGGCTCAATCTTGCAATTCTGAAAGAAAAATGATGGGACCTAACTGACAATCTACACTCCGTGCCAAATTATTATTGAGATAACTTTTTTTCTAATATTTCAAAAACCATCTAATCAATTCACACAAAATTTTCACGCAATGTTGGCAATACTGACCTGCGCAACTACTGAAATATTCGTACTGATCTGCGCAATGTAAACAAACTGGCGCCATATTTGTTATCAGCACGGTGATTTGAGCGTGCCAAATTATTAGAAAGGTTTAGTAAAATTCTCAGAATTGAGCAAACAAAACATTTATTAATGTTGCACGTGAATGTTTATGATCAAAAGAAGCGAATAAATAAGACAATCAAACAAATAATAACAGATACAAAAAAGGTACAGTTTTAAACAAATTAATAGGGAATGTTCTTTCCCTGTCTTGAAATTACTTGAAGAAGTCGACGATCCATAGAATTTGTTAATTGTAGGATGTCATCTGCTGTAATGGCGCAAGATATGCCAAGAATTGCTCCCCACAACTCAGCGTTGCTCCTGAACTGTCGTCCGTTGGCATACAGTCTTCGCTTCATGATGCTCCAAAGATTTTCGATTGGGTTCAAATCCGAACAATTTGCTGGCCACTTCATTTTTTGAGGTCCATCGAAGCCTAACTGTATCAAATATTCAGTAGTCTTGTGAGCAGCATGTGAGGGAGCATTATCTTGCATAAAAACAATGGCCCTTCTGAAGGCAACTCTTTGCCTTTTCATCCACGGCTCAAGATGCTCCTTCATAAACGCTATGTATGCGTCAGCAGTCATTTTGACGCGATCTGGTACTCTCCATGGGCCCACTAATGTTTTTCCAATAATACCACCCCAGATCATTATACCTTCATCGCCTTCATAGCGTCTCAAACGCTGATGGCGATTCTGTCCGTTCATTACCCAGCCTTTGCATCATCTATCTGGCCCATCAAGTGTTACTCGAGTTTCGTCTGTGAACAAAACTTTAGAGAGGTCAATCTTCATATTGTCCTCCGCCCATTTCAATCGATTTTGAATATGATTTCTCGTCAAAGGAGACTTCGATACAGGTTTGACTGTTGTTGCTATTTCCCTCAGATACTGACACCGAGTACTTTTAGACACAGTAGGATCCCCAATGCGACTGAAAAGCTCTTGACTGGTAAGTCCAGGGTTCCTCGTGGCCTCTCATTTAAGTCGTGACATGAGACGACGTGAAATAACCCTCGGCTTGCCTTTATCTGCCCTTTTGCGTACTTGTGTAGGGTCGGCGGTGAACTTTTTCACTGTTTGATGACACCTCCCTATCATTTTAGAAATTTCTAGGGTAGATTTACCTTTTGAGAGTTCTGAGGTGATTTTCTTTTCTTTTCAGTTTTCTTTTCAGCATCACTTAAACTGCTTTACGGCCCATCTTTTCACTAAATTCTTACACTTTTCTAATAATTTGGCACGCTCAAATCACCGTGCTGATAACAAATATGGCGCCAGTTTGTTTACATTGCGCAGATCAGTACAAAAATTTCAGTGATTGCACAGATCAGAGTTTCCAACATTGGGTGAAAATTTTGTGTGAATTGATTGGACGGTTTTTGAAATATTAGAAAAAAGTTATCTCGATAATAATTTGGCACGCAGTGTAGTACTAAAGCGGAAATATTACTGGAACAATCTTCACCTAAATGTTTATAGTAGAAGTACAGAGAAGTCACGTCATGGCGGCGAGCGAAGGGATTGAAATCGAGATGCCAGGTCGGAACCGATAATATTGCAGAGTTTGGTTTTTTTTAAATTAGTTCTCCTACGATACAGTTGCAGGGAAAAATGATGAAAAAGGAACAATTCATCCAAGATAGATATTTGTCCGAGCGCCCACCTACTGTAACCTTATACCAAACTATACTTGTTCCTATGATACGTATTCCTCTCTGGCAATTTAGGTTGGGGTTCAAAAATTATTTAAAACAGTGATTTAGAATAATGTTTCTCAAAATAAGAACAGATTTATTGCTTGAAATAATGGAGCTACACAATCTTTCTTCTATTTTCTTCTATTTTGATCTTTTATATTTTATGCATTGTATGTCAGCGGGAAAGATTGCTTATTCGTTGCAAAGAAAGAAGTGAAGAAAGAAAGAAAGAAAGAAAGCAAAAAAATAAAATAAAAGGACAATGATGTGCTGAAGATTGAAAGACAGGGAAGAAGAAAGAAAGAAAGAAAGAAAAAAAGAAAAAGAATGAAAGAAAGAAAGAAAAAAAGAAAGAAAGAAAGAAAGAAAGCAAAAAAAATAAATAAAAGGACAATGATGTGCTGAAGATTGAAAGACAGGGAAGAAGAAAGAAAGAAAGAAAGAAAGAAAGAAAAGAAAGAAAGAAAGAAAGAAAGAAAAAGAAAAAAGAAAGAAAAAAGAAAAAAGAAAGAAAAGAAAAAAAAAAAAATAAAAGGACAATGATGTGCTGAAAGATTGAAAGACAGGGAAGAAAGAAAGAAAGAAAGAAAGAAAAGAAAAGAAAGAAGAAAAAAAAAAGAAAAAAGGACCAAGAAAAAGCTGAAAGATTGAAGAAAGCTGGGAAGAAGAAAGAAATTAAAAAAAGAAAAGAAAGAAATAAAGAAAGAAAGAAAGAAAAGAAAGAAAAGAAGATTGAAAGGCTGAAAGAAAGAAAGAAAGAAATTAAAGAAAGAAAGAAAGAAAGAAATAAAGAAAGAAATTAAAGAAAGAAAGAAAGAAAGAAATAAAGAAAGAAATTAAAGAAAGAAAGAAAGAAAGAAAGAAAGAAAGAAAAGGACCATGATGTGCTGAAGATTGAAAGGCTGGGAAGAAGAAAGTTTAAAAAAGAAAGAAAGAAAGAAAGAAAGAAAGAACAGTGAAGGAATGAAAGGAAGAAAATAGTTACACAATATGAAAACATATTTTAATATTTAAACAAAAAAATGCAAGAGAATTAAAAAAAACGGATTGAAGAAGAATGGCAAAAAGCTGTAAAGAATGGCGGGAAAAAGAAATTAAAAGAGAAAGTTTAATTTTAGAAAAAATCAGAAAGAAAATTAAATTGAAACCGAGCCACCCCCACCCCCGCCGACCCCAATCGCCTTTCTCCTCGTCTGATCGATAAACAAACAAGACGTATCGATCTATAATGAAGTGTTTCTGTTGGCGACATGGAAACCCATGTCGAACTTCATGTCGAATTGTTCAATTACATGATCGGCTCGAAGACTCTATTACCTAATCACTTGACAACCAGAACCATCGATTGTTTGCTCGATCGATACAGCCTCTATCCCTCTCGTTCTCTCACACATAAACACACACGTATACATACGTACATAAAGTCGTAGTACAATTAAAATGATTGATCACTTTCCAATCATTAGAACGGAAGACGAGAAAATGACAAGTAATACAATCAATTATTGTTATTAAGTGAAAAAAAATTAAAAAAATTAACATTCTGTAAGATAATGGGTCCGCAAAAGTTCGTGTAGTTTTTAAACGAATTTCAAAGACAATACGTGAATATCTGTACATAGATTTTATCAACCACATATATACCATTCTGTTCTTACTATTTCCACCATCTATGAGGCAACTTCATTATTCCATCCTCCCTGAAACGGACATCTCTCAGGGTGATGGATCGGTGAGAGGCTTCTAGAGAACAGTTGTTAACTGGGGCAAGAAATGACTTGTAAATTGTAAAGCCTCCAAAAACCTTATTTCATTTAACCACGCCCCCCCCCCAAAAAAAACGCCTTCTTTCATTTAACCACCACAGAGAACTTTCTCTGCCTGACACCAGCGTGACTGATGCTAGAATCCAGGAGAGCAACAAACTACGCCTCACGTTTTTAATTGACATGAAGTAGAGTAACAATATGAAGGCAATAGCTGCATCTACTGCAAGGAAACTTGGGTCACTGTATATACCAGAATTTTTTTTTCTCATCAGAATCCATCTTGCACGTTTACATTCGTCCGTGCATTGAATACTGTTGCCATATCTGGTCTGGTGCTCCTGCTGTATCTTGAGATTCTTGGCAAAATCTAAAGAAAGAATCTGTAACTGAGGCAAAGTATGACTTGTAAATTTGAACGACTGCAAAACAAAACTGGTTTCATTTAATCATCATAGTGAATCTATTCTACCTTCCACAAGTATGGCTGATGCTAACCTCTTGGAGAGCAACGCCTCTACGCCTTCTGGTGATCACCTTTTCACTTATATTAAGTGATTATTATGAATCAATTACTATATCCACTGATAGGAAAGTTGGTTAACTGTGCCCTGTCAGGCAATGTTTCTCGTCAGAATCTATCTTGCACGTTTACAAATCTACCATTCGTCCGTTCATTGAACATTGTTGCCATATCTGGTCTGGTACTCCTGCTATTCTTTTCAAGGATTTTGACAAAATCCAAAGAATCATCTGCAATGTAATCAATCCTGACCAGGCATCTCGGCTTTATTTACTTACTCACCAATATACGAGCCCACCGACGTGTTGTAATGGTTAACGAGCTTATCTCGCTAGATCAATTGCAACTGAACGGTGACTTCGATCCTCACTGGGTGAACCCCACTTTTGGCCTTGTGCCACATCTAAGATCCGCTTAGAAAATCACTGAATCCTCACCATTGTGATATGACTTCCTTCTGTCTTAACTACAGATATTTTCATGGCAATTGCTCTGACTGGCTTTTTTCACGGGTGCCTCGACTAGATGAATTAAGCGAGCTACTAGATTGGCATTTAGGTCCCACCCGTTGGAATAACTAGATTCAACCGGCATTTCTACTTCTAGAGCTTCTTCTCTCACACTTCCCGCCTGTGGTTCTTCCTTCTTTTTACTTGTTTCTTGATAACTACAATCTTCACAAATTTAAATACGTCAATCGCCATATTCTATCTTTTTGGGGTCCCGTTCAAATTTTGCCCTTTCGCTATTCCTACTTGTACCCAGTCTTTTCTCTCACTTTTATTTTCCCCTGTAAGCCCCACCCGTCTTTGCGTACTAGTAACATTCCCGCCTTGCTTGGAGGGAAATGATTAAAAAATGTTCTCAGCAAAACTATAGCTGGTATTTCTGTTGAAAATGGGTGACGGAAATTGCAGAAAGTACAAATTGGAGATGAGCAATCAACGAAAAGACATCCTTCGAAAACCCCAGTACAGAAGTAGAAGAGACAATGAGAGTCTAAAGAAAAGCAAGAACTCGCCATACCCTGAAGCATCATGGCCACTACATAGGGGCTGCAGAAGTCTCCTCCGATCCAGCTCATTTCCCAGAGAAGGAAATGGCGATAAACTCTCAACACACGGCAAATAAATTCCATCAACGATGATGTAACTACAAATTCTATCCCAAGTTTCTTTTCTCGTACCTCCCGCCCGTGTAACTCTCTTCCGTTTACTGATAACTACATTCAAAAATTTAAATGCAACGTCAATCGCCATCTTCAGGGTTCTTGAACTCCGTTGATTTTTTTCCTCCTTTTCGTCAATCCTCACTATTCTCTGTCTTTTCTTTCACTTTGAATCGATGTAAACCCCCTGCGTACTAGGGGTATTACCACTCTGCCAGAGGTGAAATGATTAAAAGAATTTCATAAGGATCGAAATAAGTTCTAATTCAAAGTTACAAGGTCAGGGAATTTACAGGAAATATAATAGGAATCTTCAGGCAAGATGAATTCATTTCTACTGAGATCTGTAAAAGGACGTAATGCCTGGCGTTGGCCTTATCAAACTTTACACCATGCAAAAGTTATCTCGGAGGACTGATGTGACGTAGCAATTCAGCACTCTTTACTTTGTATATATATATATATATATATATATATATATATATATATATATATATTTGGTTTGATTGATGTGCGTTTGTGACCCTGGGTTTCACGCTTTTTGCGATCGTCAGACAAAGTTTCAGTGTTTGTCTGACGATCTCAAAAGCGTGAAACCCAGGGTCACAAACTCACATCAATCCAACCAAATATGTTATCTCTATCTCTGATATTGAGCGCTTTCTAATAAGCACCACATACAATATATAAATAATTATATATATATATATTTATTTATTTATATTTATATACACACTTTTCACATATATATATATATATATATATATATATAAAATAATATAAATTAATTGATTTAAAATATGTTTTTTCTCTACACAGTTCTAACCATGTTTCAAAAATGGAAACTGAAAAGTCTTAATTTAATTTTGTAATTAAATTAAAGACATTAGTTCCATTTCATCCTCAAGCGAATTTTTCTCTGTAAATTTACATTGAGCACTATTTTGTAAAAAATAAAAATATCTATAAGAAAACCGGATTATATATCTTACTGTTCTTTCTTTATATATATATATATATATATATATAATATATATATATATATATATATATATATATATATATATATATATATATTCTGTATCCTAATATTTGGTTTTAGAAGTCTTTATTTTCATTCCTTTCCGATACTCCGTCAAATTTCGATACCACATTTTTCGGTGTTTTTTTTTTTTTTTTTTTTTTTGTTATAAAACTAAGCATATCGTTATGTTTCTGTAATTTCTGGATTGTGACATCTACAATTCCAAGTTGTGCATGTTTTCATCAATACAATTATCATATCACATCTGAATTCTGTTCTTTTCTGAATATTACATGTAGTTGTTTGTTTTTGTTTTTTTGTTGTTTTTTTTTATGGATCCCAAAAATGACCATCTGCTTGAATTTAGGATTTGATGACCCTGGGTTACTCCCTAAAGAAAAATAATTGTAACAACTTTCAGAAGGATTCTGCTTCCAAATAAAATACAAAAAGAATGAAACCAAAATAAAATAAAAAGCATTTCCGACGTTGGATATTCTGTAGAAAACATTTGAAACAGGAAACAACAATGGATGAAATCACGATGCCATTGTCGACGTCTAGAGAACACATTGTCTTACCGGTTCTGGGTTTGGATATAAACAGCAGGTCCAAACCGTACCGCGACAGGCAAAATATATAACGTCCAAGACTTCATCTACGTTTCTTTTTATCTGTTTGTTTCTTTGTTTTTTGTTTTTTTTTTCTTCTCTTTTTTTATATTCTTATAAGTCAAGCTGTTGTGTCAAAAATGTTGGATTGTTTTTTTAGTTACTTCTATTCACAAAAAAAAGAAAGCACTTTTTTACTCGTTATAAAATAAAAGATTTTTGCTTCTTGTCAAAAAAAAAAAAAGATTATTGATCTCTACAAAGAATTATCGATTTTTATTCCAAGTTAACAAGAAATGATCTTTCTAAAAATGTTGCTGTACATTTTTTTGTTTTGTAAACGAGAACATCAAAAGTTTTCCTCTCGTAAAACTTAAAACTTTTATAAAATGAAAAGATAAAAACAAATTGCTGTTGTCGGTTGATCGTGATATTTGGTGCAAATTTTAGCCATTGTTGTTATAATTGAAATAATGGATAGCGACTCAGATTGAAGAATCAGAGAGCCGAGTTCGAATTCTAGTCGATTTAATTACATTCACATACGTACAAATATCCTTGCTAATGGTATAAATCCATTTCTTCTACTTCTCACCAGCTATGGGTAAAATAACAGGAGAGATTGGGTCATATAGCTTTGGGTGGCAACCAGTCTAGGAGAATGAAAAAGCCTCTGAATTCAAAATTAGTCTGAATAGAGTTGAGCTCCATTAGGCTATCATGCCCAGGAAATACTACTGCTGTTATCGCTGCTGTATGTGGTGACCCTTAGAGTCTATGAGTTATGGGTCTCGTGATCGTGTAGCAAGTAAAATGAAAATCACAAAGATCAGACATAGATCGACTTTAAATTTTCTAATAATGTTTTTCAAGAGGACACTTTTTATTGTATGTGGCATCCGTCGACG